TTGCTGACATACTTCCCTGTAAGGGACCCAGTGACTCCAGTGACCACTCCCAGACAGCTGTACCTACAGTAGCACATCAATTGCCCGCTACCTTCTGCCTAAAGTACTCCCAGTAGTTGGCCTCTTCTACTTGAAGACCCATGACCTGACCACCTTCTCAAGGATCTTTTCTCCCCACTCCACTTTGGACCTCTGCTGTCAGCCTTGCCTGACTTTTCTGTAGGGTGCCCCATACCTGTCCCATGTCCCCCTCCTAGGAGGTTTGAACAGATGTTGTGTACCAGGAAATGTTCTTAGACCTCAAGGCAAAAAGAGCTGTCTTCCATTAAAATGTGACCAGAATCATTTTGTAGTCTAGAACCTGTATTTCTGTCAAATGACTGTACTTCCTTCCCATACCAAAAGCCCAGGGTCTATATGTCCACAGATACTGGTCTCAGCAGGTATTCCCTAGACCCTCCACTTTTCCCGCAAGAGTCCCAGGACTCCTCCTCTGTCAAAGCAGCAAGAGCCTCAGTGCTATTATTTGTAAAGATGATTGCCATCGTGATTCTCCAAGGATGACAATGGAGGGAGATGCCCCACCACTGAGGGGAAGGAATGCTGGACTCACAACTGATTAACGCTTGTCCTCAAGATTCACCTTCCAGGAGATCTTTTCCTAATTGCTACTGCCACCATGATGGCTCTACCAAGTGCTGTTCTCTGTTCCTCTCCATTCTGAAAGTGGAACAAGACTCTTTCCTTCACTTCCCACTATGTGGCTGAAGATCAGACAAGAAACTTTCACAAGATTCTACCAACTGTCCAGAAATAACAAATATAAGTACAGCAATGAACTGAATCTGCAACTGTAAGGATGTGCTGGGCTCTTATGAGTCAGAGTGAAATGAACAACAAGATACCAAGGACGCAGTATACCCTTTGTATACTGCCATTGGCTTGGATTTGGTAACAGTTCTCTACCAACTTTTTAGACCTAGTATTCTTGGGTGGTAATCCCTTCCAGGGTTGTTGATTCCTACTTGTAGTAAAAGAGTAACTATCACAGTTAAACTGGGTTTAACAGGAAGCCTAGAGTGTGCCATTTATGAGATGTTCATAGATTTCAGGCTCTAGAGAAGGAAAAAGTCCATTCAGTTTTAGAATAGATTCCCTTTTTCCTGGCAAGAACCTCTTAAGGGCCCTTTTAGTTAAGATATTAGACAAGTATTCATTCACACACTGTTCATGAGACTATTGGGAGTTTGTTAAAGACCTGGGGCTTGGATGCTTGACCATTTCCCATGCAAGCAGACTCTATTTTTGGTCCAAGTCATGGAAGGTGGGGGGTGGAGGAAAGAAAAAAAAATCAAATCAGCAATTTCCTTTTTGTTTCTTATCATATCTTTTGGTGTTAAATTTTGAAGTTTTCAACAGTAGTTATTTGAATTAAGAAAAATAACTAAAAATGATTTTATTTGTCTAAGTAATATATCACTGCTGCTTTTATATCTGATAAAAGCTTTTCAAAATCAGTTTAATGAGAACATTTTTCAATTTAAGGTAAGCATATTTTTCAAGTTCCCTTGACACTCATGTGTTGTTTTTTTTTTTTTTTCATTTTAGTGATGTTAAAACCATCTTTCATCCCAAAGGATTGTTAAAATTATATTTTTATTAAAGTACTTTAAAAG